AAATGTTACTACGACTCCTGATGGGGGTCGAATACACGGGGGCACATCCCAACGAAGGGGGTGGGGAGATCAAGCCGGGGAGTTCATTCTTTATCCTTCAATGCGAAAGAATACCAATATCTGATGATAATTATCACTTGTACCGTATTCTCTCGTCGTGGTCGATAGCGATACGTAGTATTCGGCTCACTTGTTCCTGTTCAGCTCGGCGTCCAATCAGTTGAGGCACATTCTCGACTGCGTGGCGGAACCACGATATCGCTATCATCGTGCTGAAGAAAGTTTCGGGTTTCGAAGTTGCTCTTACAATGTACAGTGGCATGTCCTACCTTAGCAAAATCGCTCCAATAGGATCTGCAATTCTCCAGTATTTATCGCCGATATGAGCAAAGATGACTGCAGAAACGCGACTTGCTACGTCATTCCTGAAAAATCCTGCTCCTTGTGAGGCACTGAAGAGAACAAAATGGATGGAATTGGTAAAAAGTAAAATGCTGTCATGTAGGCCAATAGGAAAACGATCGCTGTTACTTCTATTCAAAGAAGAAGCGACTTAAAAGATGAAAGCGCCAGGTTATCTGTTCCCGGGCCAGCACCCGCCCGTTCAATAACTCCTTTCACCTCATCCACGTCTAGGTGCGCCGGGGTGTGGTGCGTTAGGAACGAAATGGTCGCGTCACGGTGAGAGGGGCGTCGCGCGCGAATGAATGTAGCAGGATGCAGCAGTAGGTAAGAAATACAAGAACAAAAGTACTAATAGTAGAATTATGCATAAAATAATGATCGCACATCGATTGAGCTGTATGGAGAACGCTAGAGCTGTAATAACGGCGACTGAGTGGTCCGCGACAGCCGCGTGCGGCAAATCGACTACCCAAAATCGTTCCTGACGCCCGTCTCCCAGGTGCGCCGACTCACTTTCAACGATGCAATGCCTCCACAAGTCTCTCTATCAGCCCGGTCTCCAAGGAACTCTTGGGCACAGTGCTCCTCTGGAGGTCGATCAGCGCTAGCTATTTTGCCTATTACTTGGCTTCTTCCAATTGTTCAGTGAATTCTATGGACGAGGTACTCCTGCCTCGATCTTATGTCCACTTTGTTCAGCATGACAACTTTTGTGGATGTTCGCTAAGAACAACCCTTCCTTATTAGGCCTACCTTCATCAGAACACGTGAATTTTATAAAGTGTCCTGAACACGATTTTGCCTTTCATCATTAGAAAAAAAACTAATAGTAATGAGCGTTCCCGATGAGTGTAACGAATCGGTTCCTCCCTCCCATTCTTCCTAGTCACCCCATTTTTCTAACATGGTCTTTGCCACATATGAGCCCAGCCTAATCGCTTTGTCAAAAAGCATCCCTGAAGCCAAAATCTACTTTCTCAGGACAAAAGTCATTTGTGATAGCAGCTTTCCACATCTACATCCATTTTCCAGCGTGAGCTCATAGTAGAGGCTACCTTAGATCCATGGCTATGACGATGGATGAAGGAGTTCCCATTTTGTAACAAATCCATGACAGAATTGCTTTCAATGCCGTTTGCAGTGCCATGATCACTACAGTGAGTCTAGTCATTTCAGGTTTACTCTGAAAACATTATATTTGAGTAGATTGAAGCTGAACACAACGAGTAATTCTGGCATATTATGAGACCGAAGCATCGTAGATGTTGTCGAGCGCCTGCATCGCCATTCCTATGTTAGCAAAGGACATCAGAACAGCACAGATCAGCACACCGATAGATTCAAGCCTGCAAAACGTCAAGTAGAGACATTGGCTCGGTATAGAGTGGTCACCGTTCAAGAAGTGAAGCCCTACAATGAAGCAAGTTTGTTTGTCAATAATACGACCCTGATCGAGCAAGGAACTTCCTTCACTTAAATAGATGTGTTAGGAAGTATTAATGGAAAATTATGGAAGAACTTCTACTGAGTTTTTCCTATTCAACCTCAAATTTAAACATCTGAAGAGTACCTCTGTCTTCCTCGAGGATAATTGAATGTATCAGCTTTTTCGATAAGTCGTAAGCAGCTGTTCATCACAGCACTACACAATAGGTCCATGGATGAGTCAACGAAGGTGCTAAAAACTGTAAATGAATCCTTTTGTTACGAATGCATTAGTCAATCAGCGTACGAGGTTTGGTTTGATCCGTGGACCAGTCCTGTGGTGTACGTACTATCACCACAGGACTGGTCCACGGATCAAACCAAACCCCGGAATGATATCCGCCTCGGTCTTCTGCCTCTCATGTGAACCCAGTGGAATTCTGCTTGTCCAGGGTAGGATTCTTGGTACTAGACTTATTTGTGAGGGTGAAAATACCACCCGGGCATCGGACAGAACACCACATGTCATTTTATAGGTCACATACACATTGAAACGCGACCATGATTTTGAATGGAAGTCAAATGCATGGCCTGTTATTCATTCGATGCTTCCAGCTTTTGATCTAGATCTTTTTTGCGGGATAGAGGGAACTTAACCTAAATGGGCCTTTTCTACCTTATTGAGAGAGATTTCTTTGAAGGGCCCTAAAACAACTGGAAACCAATCAGTATTACTCGAACTATCATATTATATCATCCACTATCATAAACCACATAATGGTCCCATAATATCGTGAATGGCGATTTCTGTGTGAAGTAGAACGGGAACAGTAATATTCACCTCATGATTGATAGAGATCCCGAAAGGTATGAAGCAATAAGTGTAGCGAATAAGGAGAAAATATTGAGTGCAAAGCTACAACGCATCAGGAGCCAGCTTTTTGAATCCGACTTTGGTTCAGGAATACTGCCTTTACGGAGTAGTAACTTGTCTTGTTCGTACAGTTTGAGAAGGCGTTCTTGATGTTCATAGTACTGAAAGCATAAATGAAATCTAAGACAAAAACAACCCCTCTGAAGTAATGAGCCTAGTAGAGTCCTAAAGAATCGCTGAAAAATTGAGGATTACTCCCACTCCGAATGTCTTCCTTGCTTACTCGTTAAAGAGTTTGTGAAAGAGAAATAGAGGGTTGTGTACCTCATCTATGAGTCTTCGTTGTGACGGCGATATCTCTTTGAATGCACCATTCTGTACTCCTTGATTTTCCTTGAGCGACTCTCGGTCGAACTTCCTTTTCCTTATAGGCATCTGAGAGGAAGATCTTAGGAAATTTGCCTTCTTTGGCGTTCGAGTTGAACCGGTGAGGTCGAGCACAATCAAAAGAAAGATCTGTCAGCAATAAACTCAAAGTACGAAATCCACAATAAAAAAAGTTAGCCTGAACAGTTCTGCCTGCCTTTGAAAGAATAAATAAGTTTACCATTTGTGCAAGTGGGGGTAAACTGATCAGAGGCCAGAGTGACAGTGATGTGGAATTAGTTAAAAACAAAAACAGATGTTTGCTGATTGCCTTTACATCTTACCTACTCGAAGAGAGAATGAGGACTATACTTGAGAAAAAGCGAAGGAATGATTACACAGCTCAAAAATAATCTAGAGGTAAATGACATGACGATCATTCCTTCCTGTCATTTATCTGGGCGGAGGTGCTGTAGTGGCAAGCGGCGTTTACCATCCCAATATGTTACAGGGATCGAATATCGGACTGGTTTTTTGTAGGAGTCACAAATTCGCTATGGCCCATATAACAAATGGATTACTATTTTGTTTCTGTCTAATAGCATTTCTAGAGAGTGCACGGTAATAAGACCGTCGTGGGAGAGAACTAAGCTTCGAGAGTATTCCAAAAAGGCAATGAACAGCG